TGTCAGTGGGCGTTCCCCAGGTGCAGAACCGTATCGGCACCCTCCGACCAAGGGTGGCTCGGGGCACCCCTGCGCTGCGGAGGCGGTCACAGCCCAGCGAGCGCCGCCGTGCTGGGCAGCCCCCTTGGCTGCCCGTCTGCCTGCCCTGCTGCACCCTCGGGAGCGAAACGCTGCCTGCCGAGCCGGGCTTTTCTGCAGGGAGCGCGGCTGCTTCTGCATCTTTATTAAGTGGGTCACTGCAACACCAGGCTGGCAGCCAGATGCCCACGGGGAAGCTGCTGAAAACCGCTCCCGTGGCCGAGGGAGGGTGAAGGGGGCCGAGCAGAGCGACGCAAGCTGGTCTCATCTCTCTGCTGTGTCATTTAATGCTCCCAAACCTCCACAGATCCTCTTGAGAAAGAGCGGTGCTTTCGGTAACAAAGACGGCAGCCCCGGCTCTACGGCAGGGGAGCGGAGCTCTGTTCCTGCCGGCTCAGACCGCGCCGAGAAGCTGCCCCGAGGGAAAATCTTCCGGCCATATCCATGGCCCAAGTGGGAAGCCCTCCCCAGCCCTGGCTGTCCTGGGGCTGGGTGTGCGGATAACGTCCCGCAGCTCCCCAGGGCGGATCAGAGACCTGCACAATGGGAGCAGAAGAGGGGATAACACCCCCCCGCCCCACTGGGTGTTCTGTTTGTGTTCGGTGGGAGCTCCCACTGCAGCCACAGGCACCGTCCTCCCTCGCCCTGCCTTCCTGCGAGCCCAGACCCTCTTCCTCTGGCCACCCTAGGGAAGCAAACAGCAGCTCCCAAGCCCGGGGCTTTGGCCCCGAGGTAGGGATGCTTATGGATGGAAAAGCTCCGGGTGTAAAAATTAATAGCCACTTGTGTTCATGAATGCATTGCCATGGGAAAGCACCTGGAGCCCATTTCTCTGCTGGTTAAACAGTTACTTGCTGAAGGACACTAGAGCGGGCTCCCCGCACAGGCAGGAGGCAGAGCCCGGAGCAGGGCTGCCCTCCCGGAAAGGAGAACACCCCGAGGGGGGCACCCGGCTCCCCCAGCCGCCGCAGGGAGCCTGAGCAGGGAGAGCCTCGGGACAGCGTTTCCCGGTGGGTCCG